GTTCGCAGTGCACTGTCTGATAGTTGCCTGTCTATTACTTCCCTGACCCTCTAGACTGTGGACTTCGTGATAGCAGGGCCTGTGTGGAGCTTCCTATGGGAGTGTGCTCTGTGCCAGCCTACCTATTGAATGGATTTGTTAAATAATCCATGGGCAGGAGACAGGTCTGGGTGGAGCAGAGGTGGCAAGGTGGGGGGCAGTTGGAAATCAGACTGGAGAGGAATTGCGGCCCTATCACCTTCATAACCCCAATTTCCAGGAAAGGAAACAGAGGCTCAGCCAGGTGACTGACCTGTCTAGAGTCATGCATTTAGTAAGTGACAGAGCAGCTTTGATTCCCAGTCGTCTGACTCCGTGTCCAGGCTCTTTCTGCTGCCCCTCAGCAGCAACCAGTGGGAAGGAGCCAGTAGAAAGGGATGGACAGGGCTGCCAGGGAGGGAAGGCTGAGCAGGAGAGGGAGGCCTCAGGATCTAGGACGCAGGTGGAAGACTTGGCTCAGCAGATATGGCCCTGGATCCTCTGAGCCAGCAAGGAAGGAAGAACATTGGGCCAAATTTCCAGATCAGATACTTGTTCAGACCGTCCTGGGAGACTTGGGTGGGCCGGCCCTTCTCTGGGGAGGAGCAGACTTGTGGAAAGTAACTCAGCATCTCCCTCGGCACCCACCCGCCCTGAGTGGCCTCTTCCTGCTGCATCAGGAGAATGATTTCTCAAGGTCCCCTCTGGTAAGAGGGAGACCAGAGCCAAGGACAGCTGGGAGGAAACAGGAGCCTAATGCAAACAGGCAGGAGCTGGCCCAGGGCCTAGGGCCCGAGCGGAGAGTACACGGGTCAGGTTCAGAGACTCCATCCAGTTATTGCGTGTCTAGAGGAACTCACGTTTGCAAGGGCAAGTGGACATCGGTAAAACAGGGACAATAATACCCATGCCTCGTGTGAGTATGGTGGGGATTAAGTAAGGTGAAATATGTAAAAGGATTAGGGTAATGCTCAGCACATAATATCACTCAATCAACTGTAGGTATTACCTTCTTACAGGGTTGTTGGGAGGAATGAACAGGATTATATGGTGGACAAACCTGTAAAACTGTGTGAGTGTTGGTGAGCAGTCTTTTTTCGTCAGCAACTCGATAAATGAGTGTGGACGACGTGGGACATCCAGTGGACAGAGAGAAGGGGTGTGGACTCGAGTGACCAATCACCCTCCTCCGTTCCTTTGGTTTCTTCACCTGACATCTGCATCGGAGACTACACGAGTCAGTTCTGGAAACTGCTTAGAGATGGCACAGTCCAATCCTCCAGCTTCACACAAGGGAAACCAAGGCCTGCAGGGTGGAAGTGACTTGTCCAGGGCTGCAGACAAGGCATCCCCAACTCAGATCCAACACTGCTCCCTCTGTCCCCGCAGTTCAGCCCAAGCTCAGGACATGGCTCTTTCAGCAAGGTCAGTGGTTGGCTGTTCTTCCACATTGTCCACACCCACCCCTAAAGTCAGCGGGGCTCCTGCCAGCTCTGAGCACCTCAGTCTCCAAGAGCCCCCTGCCTTGATCACCCTCTTTCTATCTTCCCATAGAGGGCAGTTGAAAGTAATTGAAAGCTACTTCCATCTCTGTTTTCCCCTGCAGAGCTCTCCTTCCCTGGGCCTCTCTGGGAGAGCTCGGGAGCAGGTCAGCGGCATGTATACACCTGCTACCTTACCCAAGGTTCCTTCAGCATTGGGCAAGTGCAAGCATTTCCCTTCCCCTCAGACAGAGTCCCCTCCCTCTTTGCTTTTTAAAATGACACCGCCGACCACACACACCTTGCCATTGAACTTGCCCATCTGGCACACACAGAAGCTCATTCTGAAGGACCTTGAGTATGTGTTCCTGTTACACAGGTGGGATTTCTCTACTGAAAAACAGTTGCAGGAGAAAGCAGATAACAAAATTCCAGGCCTGTTAAGAGCTCATTTGACCCCAAGGACAGGCTGATGTCTGAAAGGCAGATTGAGTAACTGAGCTCACATCTTACCAAACCGTTTGGATTTTACTTTCTGGGTAAAAAGTTATCAGTCTGTGGCCACCACAGTTACTTTGAAGACATGGACCATTCTTATTGCCTCTGGAAGGAAAGCCCCCAGTCCCTGCATCCCATTCCCCAAAGTAAGGAGCACCAGGCCTCACCCATCCTTCAAGCCAGCAGAGCTGAGAGGCCAGCGTAGCACATGCTTGAAGAAATGGAAGGAGGAAACTAATAATATTTGTTAAGAACTTGCTATGTAAAGATGTGGTCTTAGGCCTTTTACATATACAAGCACACCTGGGAGTTATCTCGGGTTCAGTTCCAGACTACCACAATAAACAAAATTTTGAACTAAAGCACATTACACAAATTTTTTGGTTTCCCAGTGCATATAAAAGTTATGTTTACACTACACTGTAGTCTAGTAAGTGTGCAATTGCATTATGTCTAAAAAATGTACATACTTTAATTAAAAATACATTATTGCTAAAAAATGCTGACCATCGTCTGAACTTACAGCAAGTTATAGTAGTAACATCAAAGATCACTGATCACAGCTTGGTGCTTTGTGACCACCTAGAGGGGTGGGATAGGGAGGGTGGGAGAGAGACGCAAGAGGGAGGGGATATGGGGATATATGTATACGTATAGCTGATTCATTTTGTTAATCAGCAGAAACTAACACAACATTGTAAAGCAGTTATACTCCAATAAAGATGTTAAAAAAAGATCACTGATCACTATAATAAATATAATAATAATGAAAAGGTTTGAAATATTGTGAGAATTACTAAAAATGTGACATAGGGACTTCTCCAATGGCACAGTGGTTAAGAATCCGCCTGACAATGCAGGGGACGTGGGTTCGATCCCTGGTCCAGGAAGATCCCACATACTGCAGAGCAACTAAGCCCGTGCGCCACAACTACTGAGTCTGCAGTCTAGGGCCTGCAAACCACAACTACTGAGCCCATGTACAACTACTGAAGCCGCATGCCTAGAGCCCATGCTCCACGACAAGAGAAGCCACCACAGTGAGAAGCCCGTGCACCCCAACAAAGAGTAGCCCCTGCTCACTGCAACTAGAGAAAGCCTGCACACAACAAGGAAGACCCAACGCAGCCAAAATTTAAAAAATAAAAAATGTAACATAGAGACACGAAGTGAGTAAATGCTGGAAAATGGTGCCAACAGACTTGCTCAACGTTGAAGGGTTACCACAAACCTTCAATTTGTCAAAAAAAATCATACCTGAGAAGTGCAATAAAGTGAAGTGCAATAAAACGAGGTCTGCCTATAATATTATATGTGTATGCATTTGCATACAACAGCCCAGGGACAGAAAGCTTTACTGTCCCTGATCCCCAGAGGAAGAAAAGGAGGCTCAGTTGCCTGATGGCAAGAGTAATGGAGATCAGATCTGAACGTTGAACTCAGTCCTCTCTGAGATCTCTCCATCCTGCCTTTCTGCACAGTGATGACACCCGGAAAAAGTTGGTGCTGCCTTTTCAGAGCTGACAACACTAAAGGCCCTTGGAGCTGGTCTGGCCACCAGGAGCTTTCTGATCTCCCTGATGCCCCTCCTGCCCTCCAGTCTGTCCGGTTGATGTCAGCTGGAACAGTTGGAGGGCTGGCCCAGGCATCCAGAGGTGAATGCCCTGTCCTGGGCCGAGGGCTACTTGTTGGTAAGAGAGCAATGCTGCTGGCTCTCTGGGAGGGGAACCGACTGTGAACCTGGCTGACAGGACGTGCTGGCTGCACAGGTTTGCCTGGTATTGGAGCCAGTGTGGTTGGTCGCAGGGAACTTGATGAAAATAATCAGCTGCAAACTGCTCAAAAACAAACAGACTCCGATCCAGAGGTTTGAATAACAGCCCCCTCAGCCAGATGGCTGCAGGAGCCTTGCCAGGGAGAAAAAATGATCTCCCACCCTGAATTTCCTCTTTGTTCCGGACCCTGCTCTCTTTGGACGTCATTGGCTTCCCGCCCCTTTCATGCACCAGACACCCAGAGTCTTGTGTACAGGGAGCTTAAGGAAGCTTTCCCGAGATTAGGACTTGGGGACAGGGAATCCAGGCAAAGAAGTGGCTTTCTTGTCCCAGCATGAGTCACCCTAGTTCACAGCTGTCTGCATGTGGACCTGGAATGCTGCTTCCTCCTCCGAGGACACTCCCAAGAAGCCCGGGACCCTTGTGGGTGCAGAGCAGGAAGTCATAAGCAGGGCCGCTTTGTGTGGGGCAAGCCCTCTGGACACCCTAGTCCTCGCCAAGAGACTGTCATGTCTGAGCTATTGAAAAACTGAATGCTAGCCTGTTTCCACATTAAATTGCAACCACCCCTGGAGCTAAAGGTGGCCAGTGTGTCCTGCCAAACTCAGCCTCCCTATGGCTCCAGTAAGAGCATCGATGTAAGAGTAAGGCCGGTGTGGGTTTGAATCCTTTCTCTGCTACTAGACATCTTCTTTGACCTCTCTGAGCCTCAGTTTCTACATCATTGAGTTTTAGTGAGAATAATAAAGAAATTATATTTTCAATGCATGCAGCACAGTATCTGGCACATAGCAGGCACTCTGTAAACACTGGTTTCCTCCCTCCTAGCCCTCTGGTCCAGAGCTTTTTAGTACTAATTTCTTCTATTACCCACTCCTAAATGCTTTCACTGATCCATAATCTAATACTTCATTCTTGGCTTTTAGCAAAGTTGCAGGTATAATCCTGGCAGTGTATAATTACATGAAGTCACATCAGTCTTATTTAACTTACAAGTTTACTTAGAACTTTCCTACCTCTATAAGAGGTAATGACATTTTAAAAAAATCTTAACAAACAAGTCTATGAATTTGTATTAAGATTATCAAACGTATTAGTCAGGGTCAGCTGGATTTTGCTGCAGTAACACACACCTCCCAAATATGAACGGCTTAAAACAGCAAAAGTTCATTTCTCCCTCAAGCTATAAATCCACTGTAGGTTGGTGGAGTCTCTGCCCAACACTGACCTCTCTTAGATACTCAGGGTTCATCATCTGGAATGTTGTTGGCCCCTGCAGCTGGGGGAGACGATGAAGAGTTGCTTAGCACTTAGCAGAACTGGAACGCCTCAGCCCTAGCACACTTCACTTCACATTCGTTGGCCCGAGCAAATCACATGATCTCACTTAACCTCAAGGCAACAGGCACATCCAATCCTATTGTGTTCAAGGTGGGAGATAATTGATGAACAACACTACCGTCAAGCACTTGGAAGCTCAATGTTTTAAGAAGATTGGAGGAAACGCTGCAGGCAGGCAGAAACACTGAAATTCCACCCCTGCCATCCACCACTAGGGATTTGCTAGTCATTTGAAAAGTAGAATGTGCCCAGACATTTGCATAAAGAAGTTCCTTTTGTTCCTCCCTTCATTCTATTTCCTTGGTCCTCAATTTCCAGTGTGCATAAGAATGATTTGACATTGCATAACGTTGTATATACAATCCTAAAGTGTTTTCGAAGTGTTTTAAACATAGGCAGTTTTCCCTGTCTGTGCTGAATTTAGAACCTGACCTATTGAGGATGTGACTCTGTAGTATTTAATTAATACTAGTGCCTGACTTCATTGTTTTTTTAAAACCAGTTTATTGAAGTGTGATTGACATACAAAGAGCTGTACAACGTAATGTACGCAATCTGGTGAGTTTGGAGATAAGTATACATCCATGGAACCATCACCACATTCTATGCCATAAACATGCCAATCACTTCCAAAAGTTTCCTCCCACCCTGTTTAACTGCCTGAGTCTCATTGTTCCAATGTTTCATTGCTTTCTCCTCTTCTGTGCTTTACTTATGCTCTGAGGGGCCATTCCATCTCTGAATCCAATTGCAATTAATATTTTTTTTGATTTTGTGTATGTACTTGACAATAAGAGTTTATAAGAACTGATCTGTACCCAAAACTCTAAAAAAGTCTTCTACATATATGATGTCATTTAGTGATTCTCACCATAACCCTAAAGAATTTGTTTAGTAGTGGAACATTTCCATTCTACTGATGAGCTAATGGGAGCTCAGAGAGGCTGAGTGACTTGTGCAAAGACACACAGTGCATATGTGTTGAGGTCAGGTTTTTGAACTTAATTCTGTCTGCCTTCAAATTCCGCAGGGCCACTCTGGGCACACAACGTTCCGGAACTTGGACATCCAGGAATTCCTGTCAATTAGGCATTTATTCACAGAATAAACATTTCCCTGAAGAGCTCTCCACAGCTGGCCAATCGCATGGCCCTGCCACATTTCGATCTAGGTGGTGAGATGCCCATTTGTCTTTGAGGTGTGACGCGTGAATTGAACTGTCAGTGTGTTATATGTGTGTGTGTGTAAGCTGGGTTCTGTGGTGGTGGGGGTTGTGTAAGCCTTCCTTGATGTGCAGGGTCACCAGATAAAACACGGACATCCAGTTAAATTTGAATTTCAGATGAACAACAGATTATTTTTTAGCATAGTAAGTCTGTCCCATGCAATATTTGGGACACTTATACTAAAAAATAATTTGTTGTTGACCTGAAATTCAGATTTAACTGGCACCTTGTGTTTTTATTTGCTAAATCTGGCAACTCCATCTACAGGCATGTGTGTCTGTATAAATGGGCTTACTCGTTTATGTCTCATGTGCACCTGAGCACGTGTGTGTCTGTGCCTGTGTGTGTCTGTGTGCCTATGTGGGTCTGTGTGCATGCGTACCCCCACTGTGGAGGAATCAGCAGATGGTTGGGAACAAACAGCTCTACCACCCAAAAGCTTATCTCCCACCAGGCCAACCCCACTGGAGCAAGCGAGGTCAGGATGGGCCAGGGAGCTTGGACCTTCTGCTGAGGGCAATGAGGAGCCATGGAGGACTCTAGGCTGAGGAGGGGCAGCCCTGGATGTGTGCCGGAGACGTCCCTCTGGCTGTGTGGTGGAGAGGGCCAAAGGGGAGGGAGGCCTTGGTGAGAGAGGACGAGGATCTGGCCTCAGGCCTTGGCAGTGGAGATGGAGGGAAAGTGGCCAATCGTGGGACTTGTTTAATGTTTCCGCTGGGGCTGAAGGAGGGAGGAGTTGGCGGTGACACTCAGCTTTCTAGCTTGGACATCGGATGGACTGTAGGCTCCTTGAGGGTCTGTCTTGCTCCCTTCCTCCTTCTCAGTGTCAGGCATGGTGCCTGGCATGTAATGGATGCTCTCCGGGTGTTAATGGCATGAACACATGCGTGCAGGAATGAGAGAAATGGGAACCCAGGAGGAGGCGGGGGAGGAAGGGAAGGTCTGGGAGGTAGGCTGACCTCAGGTACTTGGGTCTGAGGTGGCAGTGGGACTTCCCAGGGCGACGTCCAGCAGGCAGTTGGCCATATGGCCAGCTTAGGAAAGAGGTCCAGGCTGGAGAAGCAAATTCAGGGGGTATGAGTGGGTGGAAAAGGTATGAAACCACCAGCTGGGATCAGCTCACTGTAGGACACAGTGAGGAAGGAGAGGGCAATGGTGAAAGGAGGAAGCTTGGGGTACAGCAGCATTTAAGGAGCTGGAAGCAGGAGTCTGAGAGGGTCAGTGTTTCCCCCTCACTGGGCTGCTGGCTATTAAGTGAGATACCCATGGCCTGGCAGCTCCAGGAGGGCCAGGCAAGGGTGATAAGTGGGACATTTAATGGGCACCAGCCAACAGGTGCCAGGTCTTTGGGCTCCCAGCTATGCTGGAGTCAACTCTGGAGTAGCTGGATCTTAGGGGAGTGAGGGGAAGGAAGGGAGGAGGGCCTGGGCAGCTGGGGCAGGGAGGGGGCACTCGGAGGCTCAGGGCAGCTGCTCTGTAAAACAGAAACATGGAAATATTTTAACATGTAGGACAGTTATATAGGGATATCCTGGCTGCATGTCAGCCCTGGCGACTGACAGTATGTATGTATTTCATTCCTGGCTGTGGCCTCATGTTAGAATAGCGCCCAGCAGTGAGTAAATGATAGTTCACATCAGGTCCTCACACAGTGCCTGGTATATAATAGGCTCTCAATAAATGTGCTTCCCAGTCTTCTTTTCAGGGAGTAAAGACGCCTCCATAGTAACAAGGAATTTCCTCCTCTGAGCACGATTTTTCTATTTTAGGGAATCAGATTTCCTTCCACTTGGGAAGACCTGTCTTTTCTGCCATTGAATTCCTGGGAATTTCAAAGGCACCAGGCTGCAAGCTCACTGTGGCTCACGGCACAGTCAGAGCCCAAGCGAACAATGGCCTGATCTTGAGGGACAGTTCCAGTCAGGGTCACCCTTCTGGTAGCTTCCCCTTCCTTCCGACACAGCTTAGTCATCTGTCAGGAACCAGGAGCTTCTCCTGGGCCTGGCACATAATCTGTGCTGTGTGTTTGCTGTGATTATTTTTGTTATTACTGTCCCTGGGCCTGGTGTTTCCTCAAACTGAATCTTCTCTGTGACTCTAAAGCTTAATTTATTTTATTTTATCCAAGCTTCAGACTAATACCTCGATGGCTGTGGATCCCCAAACAGGGTCATTTTGCAGCAACTAATTCTAACACAGTTTCTTTCTGGTGATTTTTAAACACTCACACCACAGAGGAAGGTAGGCTTCCTTCAAGAGCTCACTTAATTTAGATAAATATTTGGCCTTGTGGATATACAAACAGTCCTAAAATGTACCTTTTCCTAGGCGTAGGGTCTCAAAAGGGTTTTCAGGATTCAACGCATATTCATTCAGTTATCAATTTGTCCACTTAGTTGTTCCCACTGGAATGGCAACGAGGGTAGAGCTTTTTGTCCGTTTTGTTCACAGTTGTAAACCCAGAGTCAGAACAGTGCCTGCCACATCGTAGGTGCTCATGGCACATTTGCTGAATGAATCAGTGAGTGAATGAGCATCTTCTCTGTGTCAGGATACCCGGCACTGGAAAGCCAGATTAGGACACAATCACCCTGCTGTCCACGAGCTTGTGGTCTTGTAGAAGAGCTCTCCACTTCCCCCCAACATCTGAAATTCAAAGCAGTTCAACACAACTCCCCGTGAGATATGTAAACACCCTGTACTGGTCACAGAAGCCTAACAGGAGGAATGACACTGTTGTTGGGAATGCCAGTGAAGGTGTCCTAGAAGAGGTGGCATTTGAGTTGGGTTTGATTTCCGCAGGAGGAGTTGGCAGAAGGGAAACAGGATGAGCCAAGGTCCAGAGAGGGAAACGTTGTCTTAGTAGAGGAAGTTGCAGGAAGGCAACCTGGGTTGTGTAGGTCACTGTATTATAAGCTCCAGGAGGGCAGGGGCTGTGTCTGTCTTGTCCCTTGTTACATGACGCTGCAACTGGCACATAGTAAATTGTAAACTGTAGCTTAAGAATGAATGAGTGATATGAGAACGGAAAGAAAAGATGGGACCTAGAAATCTTCTTTGGAGGTTTGTTCAGCACCTGCAATGGGTTTCATTGTCCCCTTCCATCCTGTGTAGATGCTCGTGCCTAGAAGGAACCTTAAGTTCAACCCCAGGCACCTCTGTAACACCCCACCAAGGGGTCATGTACTTTTGGTTGGTATGCCCCTTAGTGATGGGGTGCTCACTCCCTCCCACACAGCTGGCCCCTCTTTTGTGTACATCTGATTGTTAGAATAACCAGCCTTACATTGACCACACAGAAGCAGAGGGATGGCAGGGAAAGACCACTGAACTTGGCTTGGCTCCTGGCCCTGCCACGGACTTGTGTGGTCCCTTGGGCAGGGCTGGTGTAGCCAGTGATTACAAGTTGTGGGCTCTGGTGTCTGACAGTTACTTGATGTGCAAGTAAGCTTAGATAAACTAAGCTTCTCCTCTGTGCCTTAACTTTCTTATCTGTAAAATGGGGATAGGAATAATAGTACTTTCCTCATAGGATCTTTGCGGGGATCCTTCTCAGTACCTTATTAGCAAATTAGTAAGTACTCAACATAATTAACCATGATTTGTAGTGTTATCACCTCCTTTCTGCCTCTCAGTTTCTTCCTCTGTATAATGGAAGTTAGAACTCCTGCCTTGGATGTCTCAGGTGGTATGTTTGAGGAGCCAGAGAGAACGGGTGAGAGGCATCCACAGAAGGGAGGGTTGTGTGCTCTTCCCACCAGCTGTGGTGTTTGCCATGGGAGACCTCACCACATGGCTGGCCCCCCA